TGATCAAGTAGCACTACTTATACTAAGTGCTTTAAGATTGAATTTTCTATGATCATGTAAAACGTACATAGAAGAATGAGAGTGAGTCATTTTACTTGCAAGATGATCAATAAACATATATTATTTTACTTGAAGGAATGATACAAATCATATATTCTTGAAGTTAACTTTATAATAATAATAATAAATAGAAAAATTTATATATAATAATATGACATAAGAAAAAAAAGAACCGAAAAAAAATTAAACAAACGTTGATATTACTTAAGAATCTAAAAATCAAAATTAATTTCTAGAAAATTCTATCTTTAAGTACAATATATAAAAATAAAATATTTAATTTATCATAACTAATAAAAGATAGTTATATGTATATATTTATATTCTATTTTAAAAATGTCTAGGGTATTAAATGGATAAATTAGTATTCTCTTTGTATTTTAAAACGTAGTCTCATTAGTTAATTTTTTTAAAATAATAGTTATTTTACCATTTTAAAGTATAATTTCTTCCAATTTTACCTTAAAATAATTATAATCTCAAAACTCATTTCTTATTCTTCTCTTTTTATTCATTTATTGTATAAACAATTTTCAAAACTTTTCACTTTGTAATCTACAAAGATATAATAGAAAATTTTATAATACTTTTTATAAAAATAAAATATGTTATGTCACAAATTTAAATGTTTATTTTTTTTAAAACATATATGTATTAAAAAAATAAATAAATTCACTCATATGATGAGTGATTTGTTAACAAATTTTTTTTATAAATAAACAAGGATATAAATTCTTTTAACAACTAATGCCTATAAAAATGTGTTTTTTATAATTTAAATAAAAAAAGTTTATAATTAAGTGTCAGATTATTTTTTTTAGAAACACTTTACTCAAGCCTTTGAAGAACTTGGAATCACCTTCAACTAACGTGAAAAATCGTCTCTACTAAAAGTGCCATTCAACCCTGCTATCTTGTATAGACCAAAAATCATTTTCTTTTTTTTCTCATTTAAACTATGGAAATAGGAATTTGTTTTCTTTATTATTTTCCTATTGAAACAAAACGGAACAGATCTCTACAAGGAGACCACTCATAAGTATGTATGAGACGGATAGGAAATTTCATAGATTCAGAAATAAATGTAAAGAAATTCAACCACAATAATTAAAATATATTATTATAAAATAAAATTTCTAGACTTGCACCTGCCTCAATTATTTTTCAACTGCTACCTGATTCTAACATGCACGGGACCTGATTCATAACACTACCCTATTTGTTAGAGCGTCTTTATTGCAGACACCGTTCTTAAGTTCATCTCACTCACTTTGTCATTTTAAACACGATGGGTCATGTTGTCTGTCCTTTATCATGTCGTGTCAATGTTATTAATGAAAAAAAGGCTTTTTATATCCGTTAAAAAAGACTTTTTATATTAGTTTCGTATTTAATGTAGATATAGGTGATGTAGAAAGTTTAAGACTTTTTACATTAGTTGTTAAAGACTGATGTAAAAAGTGTCACTTTCTACATCGGTTATTATAAATAACCGATGTAAAAAAATGTTCTTGATGTTTATCTTTGTTAATGACGTCAATATTTTTTTTCTCTGAAAGTTTTAACGTTCGCGTCAATATTATCAATATATTTTCTTAAGTTAAATTAAAATTCATAAACGTCAGTATTTATGGTGTTCGTCGTATTCTTCATAATCATCGTATTCTTCAAGTTCATCGTGTTCTTCATGTTCGTCGTGTTTATTGTGTTTATCGTGTTTTATTATTGTTCATCTTTGTTTGAATCTGAAACATAAAAATGATGTAATGTTCATCAAATCATTTAATAAGAAAGAAGAAACAACAAAAAGTGAAACAACAAAAAAATGAAAGAAATTAAAATAATTGATGTACCTGAAAATCTTTACAAGTTCATTGTTCACCTAGCTAATAGAACATAAGTTTTAGAAACTTAAGAAAAATCTGTTTTCGAGTCTCCAATTTATGCTATTTCGCTGGCGTGTATATGAAAATTTAAAATTTGAATTGATTCTACATCGATTTCTAAAAATAACCGATGTAGAATGTACATTTTACATCGGTTGTAAAAACAACTAATGTAGAAAAGTTTGCATAAAATTCAAAAATGCCATCACATTTGTTTTTACATAAGTTATTTTTACAACTGATGTAGAATATTTTTCATATCAGTTCCTTTGACAATCGATGTAGAAAAGTTTGCAAAAATTTAAAAAATATTACTGCATCTTTTTCTACCTCGTTTCACAGAAAAACCATTGTAAAATCATGTTGTAAAAAGTTTTTTTTGTACTAGTGTGTTAAATAAATAACTAATATAGAATTTTAGAAAAATTTATAAAAATATAAGAAATTTTTAAATTGACATTTTAAAACAATTTTTATAATTTTTAAAAAATTGTCAAGGCTGATTATTAGTAGTTTAAAATTATTTATAAAATCTTTTTATAATTTTTCAAAAAACCTTCAACGATGATTTTTAGTATTTTACTTTTAAAAATAATTTTAGCTGTTTTATTTCTGGAATTTTTGTAATTTTTTTATAATATTTACTTCAAATTGTCACATTTTTTAATTTATTTCCAAAATCTCATGAAGAAAAAAAAAAACCTCTAATATTTTGTCTGGTTGAACAAATTTGAAGTGACGAGAAAGATACGAGAGAAATGTGCATCTCTTTTTAATTAGAAGGGAGAAATAAGGAGAGAAAACATTTCAAAGTGGGACTCTCAATTGATTTTCACCTATTAAGTTGGGACAATGACTATTTTTTTTCTCTCTTTCTTTAAATATAACCCTTTCGCCATCATTTCAAGTGTTGCATCTAAGGGGTGAAAATAGGATGGATTGTTTGTTTAGTCTATGACTTAATTTATATTAAACTGAAGGTAGGTTTAATTTAATAAATAAAGTTCATATATTTTTTTAAACGTTTATTTAGTTAAATATGTCAAGTTTTGAATTATATATATGGATTTATTAGTGTGATTTAAGATAAGCTTTTTTAATCTATTTTAAAATAACAAAGTTAATTTATAAATAAGTTTGCATCCATTAACCTATTTTAAAATAGTTTTTTATTCTATTTAAAAATCTATTTATAAAGCAAATTTCAAATGATTTTACAGGCCAATCTTAAAAAACAAAAAGTAAAAAAGAACTTTAAAAATAATCCAAATAGAAAAGAAACAAAATAAATCTAAACCTTAGATTTTAAAATCCAAACCAAACTCAAACTTTGCAATATCTAACTTCACCGACCTATTTCTAGTCGTAGTGGCATTGCCACAACTCAAATATGCAAGTTGACTAACTTTCTTGCAACCCTTAGGTGGGAAAGCAAATTGCAGCATGACCGATGTCTTCAAACTATATTATTTTCTTTTCACGTGCATGTTTGGTTAAATTTATAGAGAAACAAATAATTTTTTCCTGAAATAATTCAAATCAAACATGCATTATATCATAACGCTAATCCCATTCCTTTTCTTTTTAATATGATTGTTTTAAGATTATTAAACTTCAATCATATAAACAATTTTATCACGTTCACGTACACAATTTCAATGGCAGAAAAAAAAAAAGTACGCAATTTCTTTCTAATTTTTTTCTCGATTTATTCTTTTTATTTTATTTTATTTTTCTTTTTTATTCTCACATTTAAACAAATTATCAATGTATTTATAAGCCATGTCATCGTAGAAGAGAACAGGAAAGAAAGAAAAAGTCATGTACTGGGAGCCATGTAAATTGGAATTGGACAGAATTAACACGAAAACATTTATTCATTAGCTGAATTTATTATAACGATATCTTATAATTAATTAGTGAAGTATTCAAATTTATTCGCGAAATATTTGTGGATGTTGGACATTTATTAAGTACTTGCACAATTCAAATAAATAAATATTAATTATTAGATCTTTATTTATAGTCAAAATTAAAATATAAGTCATGACATTTTATAATTATATAATCTTTAAGTAACTTTTAGGATTAACTAGGGTAGGAGGCAGGATTTCCATTTATGGGAGTTAAAATTAAAGAGCATATAACTTATAAATAAAAAAATTAATTGTTAAGTTATATCGTATGCAAAAATTTTGTACATAATAATAATTAAAAAATACAATAAAATAAAATTTTCAATAGACATTTATAAAAGTATAGAAAATAAAAAAACTGGATCAATTCTTTTTCTGTAACCCAAAATTAACTTATGCACCTCGATCATAAATTAATCTTTATTTAAGAAAAAAGTATGGTTTATTTTATTTCTTATTAATATCTCTTAAAAACTTTTAAAAGTTCGTAACTTATTTTTATACAATAATATAAAAGAGTTGAAAATTTTGAAGGTACCGCTGAGTCATCCCCTCTGCCATATATATTAACTATGTATATATCATTATTTATCATAATTTACTCAAAGGAAAACAACTTGCCTATTTATTACATTCTCTACAGATGTCCATGAGCATACTTTGTAAAATTGATTTTGGAAAGATAAACGAGTCACTAATTACTTACGAGTAATTTAAATAATGTTGAAAGAAATAAGTTTTTATTTAAATAATGATAGAAAAATAAGTTAAAAACAAAAATTGATAATTTCAAGCCTTTTAATATATAGTTCTTTAAATATTTTTAGATTATTTTTAATCTAAATTGAGATTTAACTTCAATAATTTGCATCAACATAAAATATTGATTTTTAAGAAATAATTAAATTTTGCGCCTCACATGATGGAGAAAGAAATAAAGGATGACATAATCATTGGAGTCATTGGAATAAGTCACGATGTTGAGGTCCGTTCACTTGAGTCGCTGCAATAAATGAGCTGAAACAGAAAAGGATATGGGTCCAAACTCGGTCACAAATAAGATGGTAAGTTTGCTTAATGGTCATCCTTATCTTTCATAAAGAGAAGCACAAACAAGAGCGAGCTAGTTAAGCAAATTAACTATACAACAACTATAGATGGTTCTTTTTATGAAGCTCCCTTCTTTTTCTTCTTATCTTCTTGTTTTCTTGCTGTTCCGTTTCATATTATTATTTGCTGTTGTGTGTAAGACAAGGGCAGTGGTGAAACTGCCCCCAAATGTTTCAGTTCCAGCAGTGCTTGTGTTTGGAGATTCGATCATGGATACGGGAAACAATAACAACAACTTGGCAACACCTGCTCGGTGCAATTTCCCACCGTATGGGAAAGATTTTAAGGGAGGGATGCCAACTGGAAGATTTAGCAACGGAAAGGTTCCATCGGATCTTATTGGTGTGCTTCACTATCTCTTCTTTTTGCTTAATTCTAACACGTCAAATGTTCAATGTAATCAACCATATTATCAATAGTTATTACTGTAAGATAAATGTAATATGCCAAAAGCAAGAGTTATTTAACTTATTTTACTCTTATATAGAATCTATACACATTCTCCCTCCCCCCACTAATTTCTCCCAGCTGGGGGGTTTTGATCAAATAAATAGTTCTGCATAAATGTTAAGCTTCATCTAATACTTTTGTACAAGTAATTAGTATTCTTCTAGTAATTTGTTTTTGTTTTTGTTTTCTAAGTATTGATTAAATAATTAATGGAAAAAGTTTTATTTTAAATTATGAAAGAAATATATTAATTTTTTATACAAATATAATATTCGTATTTTTTTTAACACCTTAAAATTATTTATGAATATTTTCTTATTTATATGCAAGTATAATTGATCTGATTTTTATTGGGCCAAGTAATCGAAACAGTTGAAGTGATTTAAAGTTTAGGTCCTACTAAACACTACCTAAAGAATATTGATTAAAAGTATTTACTATACTTTGTCAAATAATTTTTTTAGATAATTATCAAATGATTTTAAATTACTAAAAATAAATAAATACATTTTTAATAAATATTTTTTGTTTTATTATATTCTCATGAGTATTCTTACCTTAAAGCTTTTTTCTGTGGCCAAATTAAAAATTTATCCATATTAAAGGACGGCCATTATTGGCTTTAAATAGTGTATTTATTTTTTCGTATTGTATCAGTTGAAGAATTAGGCATTAAAGAGTTTCTGCCACCATACTTGGATCCTAATCTCCAACCAAGTGATTTGGCCACCGGTGTGTGCTTTGCATCTGGTGGCGCCGGATACGATCCTCTGACATCACAAACATCGGTATGAATATTTTTACCTCCAAATTTTATTTTCCAAAAGTTAGGGAACAGAAAAAAAAAAAGGGGTGAAGATCATTTGTGTTTTTTCTAACTTTATTTTTCTATTATGATAATCAGTCAGTTATATCATTATCTGGTCAAGTAGACTTGTTCAAAGAATACATAGGGAAGTTACGAGGACTCTTTGGAGAAGACAGAACAAACTTCATATTAGGCAACAGTCTTTTTATTGTGGTATTTGGCAGCAATGACATTTCCAACACATACTTTCTATCCCGTGTTAGACAACTGCAATATGATTTTCCACCATATGCTGATCTCATGGTCAATTCAGCTTCTAATTTCATGAAGGTATGATTAAGTTTCATCTCAGCAAAGATAGCTCAAGCATTACATCAATTATATGAAGTCATACTTTCTTATTAAATTTTTTTAATATTAAAAAACATTAAACAATAAAAACATTCAAAAATTAAATATTTTTAATTTAATAAATAAGATAATTAATAAATATAATATATTGTAAAACGATGCAAAATTATTCATTTCACATGTGTTGTTTTCAAACATGATATTTAAAGAAAATTTTTAAATGACTTATTTTTAAAGAAAATTTAATAATATTTCTATTATGCTTAACTTTTATATTTATTATATATAACTCTTATTATTTAAACATTTTTCATTATTACTTTTATATTTTTTAGAAATGTAAAATATATATTTTTATCTAAATACAACCTAAACGCATGTTTGTGAGGTAATTTTTTTTTTAAAAAATTATTTAAATTTTAGTTAAATATATTTATTAAAAATAAAAAATTTACCTTCCTCCCTCATTCTCTCCAAAATTCTTCTTTCTCCCAGAATTCCTAAAATAGTTTGCAATTAACTAATAGCATTGATTATTAACCATATAATCCATCTAAGAGGGAGACACTATGCATTATTCTATGGTGTGTGTTATAGTACCTTAAATTTTTTTTTTTATAGATATCGTATCCAAAAAATTTATACCAATAAAAAAGAAATACATGACAAATTAAAAAAATATTATTATATATAATTTATTTAAATTTATATTATTTGTTACATAATTCTATTATATATATATATATATTGTATATTAATTTTTTTATTTTATTTTTTATAAATTTTTAAAATTTTTTAGTTTTAAATAAAATATAATTTATATTTAATCAATTTCTATTTATTATAACATAATATATTAATATAATAATTAAATAATTAAATATTAACAATAATAGAATTAAGAATATAAAAAATATATTAATATAGTATTATTATTTTATTTTTAAATTTTAGTTTGTTTAATTTTGATTACATTATAACTACTCTTTAAATTTTTTTAAATATAGTAAATATAATAATTTATTATCAAATAAATTTATTATTTAAATATGTGTCTAAATATTATTGGATAGAATTTTTCATGTACAGTATCCTGAAAAATTTTTAGAGTACCACAAAAATGACTTTATTCTATAATATATTCTCATTTGAACCCTCGATAATTAAGAACAAACAGCAAAAAGCATTTTCGAGGGCTAATTACATTATATGAAGTCAGTGTTAAAGCTTACCGGTGCAACTATTTTTGTCCCCATCACAGAACACACGAATTCACGTTTTCTATAGTTGTAATTATGAATAATTAATTACCTTACCACATACTTGTTTCCCTTTGGACATAATTGAAAGGAAATATATGAACTAGGGGCACGGAGGATTGCAGTATTCAGTGTGCCGCCAATTGGGTGTTTGCCATTTCAGAGAACGGCGGCAGGAGGAAAAGATAGAAAAATTGTAGTCAAGTATAACGACGCAGTTCAGTTATTTAACAGCAAATTGTCGAAGGAGCTGGATTCTCTTAATCAGAACTTTCCAAATGCCAGAATGGTCTACATTGATGTTTTCAATCCTCTCCTTGACATCGTTGTCAACCATAAAAAATATGGTAATTCTACATTGATATTTGAAAGTCTATTGTACCTGGTATTATATATAATTATTTTTAGTATATATATTAAAAATAAATGGGGTATATAATTACTTGTCCCTTAAATTTTTTTTTAATAACTATCAAATTAGACGAGTATAAAGGTAAAACAAAATTAATCACAAACACATGATCACAAAGTTATAAGATTAAACTTAGGAATAAATTACCATTCCTAATACTTTTCGTAGTTCCTTTGGTTCCAAGTATGCCGCAATTATTTTATAACGCTTTGTCCTTCATCTTCATCACTTTCCCGTGAAGTTTTTCAATAATTTCATGATTTAAACTTCTGCAACATTTTGCCTTGTTTTCGCAGGCTATAATATTGAAAACAGGGGTTGCTGTGGCACGGGTACAATCGAGGTTGTGTTGTTATGCAACCGTTTCGTTCCCTTGTGTGCCAATGATTTGGATTATGTGTTTTGGGACAGTTTTCACCCTACTGAAAGCGTTTATAGAAAGCTCATAGCTCCTATTTTAGCAAAATATTTGAGAAAATTCTTGTGAATTATATTTACAATATAATCAATTGTGTATACAAAATAAAGCATGTATTAAGTTTGAAATCTTATATATATAATTTATGTATGGTAAGCCAAGACCAGTCGGTCACTTGTTTTGGTATATATAAATGAATTGTGGCATATCACGATGGAATTAAAACATGACAAAACAGCTAATTAATGTGATGACTTCTTATAAATATTCTCGCAAGAAGGTAAATATGCGTTGATGGAATATGATGTAATTTTGAGTTCTAACTTTTTATTAATATTTAAATAGTGATGGAGAGGGGTCTAGGTATAATCAAAATGGGCTGACGAAGGTGCTTTCCAAAACTTCTAAAGTGATAAATGACAATCCAGTGTTATTAACTTGGAGGACTTGTAGGTGGACCTTACTTCTTAAGGCACTTCAAGCCTTTAAAATGGAGGAGGTTACAACTGGTTTAGAGTGTGTTTTTTAGCATGTTCACATAATGAAAAATACACCTTTCAGCGCAAAGCCTATTTCTCCTTTACACATCCGTGAAAGCCCACTATGATAGAATCCTGCAATACATGTCTATCACTTTTCCTATTTTATCCAATACAGACAATGACAATAAGACTTTTAAGAGGCAAGAGGTGTCTGAAGATATATGTATCCTTACGGCTTACAATAAAAAAGAAAAAAATAGAAAAAGAAATCCACTTAGGTACTCCTTACTGGCAGTGCCATTGCCCACTACTATATCACCAATCCTATTTCGATGATCAGAATTCATATCATTATTATCCACACCTTGTATCCGATTTCAGACAGTAAGTGAAGCAAAGTTACTGAACGATTAAAAGTGATCGAGTACGTGAGAATAATGATCAGAGAGAATGGTACAGCAAAATAGGAAGGACCTCTAATAACTCACATTGTTGTCGTGGCACATATGGCTGTTGGATGCAATTAATTCTTACCGTTGCAGTTAACGAGCTACGATCGTTTGGCATAGTTAGATCCATTATTTGAAGTCCACATGTTGAAAAATGTTCTTATAGCTCTCATTACTCTTTGTTGTCGTTCAGAAGAAGCAAAACCAATTAAGTGCTAGCAAAAACTAGTCTCCAACTCATATATATATACGGTTCTTTCTATGAAGCTCCCTTCTTCTTCTTCTTCTTCTCCTCTTCCGTCTTCAATTTGTAACTTAGTTCTCCGTTTGACACTATTATTAATTGTTTCCGGCAAAACAAAGGGTGTGGTGAAACTTCCACCAAATGTTTCGGTTCCAGCAGTGTTGGTATTTGGCGATTCGATCATGGATACGGGCAACAACAACAACAACATAAAAACAGCTGCTCGCTGCAATTTCCAACCATATGGGAAAGATTTTAAGGGAAGTGTCCCAACTGGCCGATTTAGCAATGGAAAGGTTCCATCAGATCTCATAGGTATCGTATTAATTGCTCTCTCCTCATTTGCATGCTTTTGTCCATCAGATCCGGCATGCTTTTTCTCCACCACAATATTAGCCATTCATTTGGTTTTCTCACAACAACTAAATAAAAAAATAACATATGATAGACGGTTGAGATTTCAGTTGTAGACAAATCTTGTTCAAGAGGTAAGAGACCATCCAAAATCGTCCATGTATATAACAATATAACAATTATAAGTTATTAAAATTTTAAAAATTAAGTAACAATTTTTATTAGATTACATTAGTTTTTAATTCATCAATTTGAATCAAACGGAAATTATATTATATGCATATGCAAAATCTTATTTACTAAGTTTTCATAGTTAACAATTTTAATATCAATTTGATGAATTTATACTTTACACTTATGATTTATGTATACTCTGTTACAAAAGATGAGAATATTCTTGATTCGTTAAATTATTTTTTTGTTATAATTGTTGTATATTGCATGAGTTAATTTATTAACTCCCTCCTAAAAAAAGTTTTAAAAAATGATATAATCCAATTAACTGTAGATTAGGATGAATTATATATATATATATATAAACTACTAATTAAATGATAAAATTAGAAAAAAAATATCAAATAAAAAATGTTTTTATTTTATTTTAAGAGACAATTCAAACTATTTTTTACATTTAAATTTATAAGTACGAAAAAATAAATAAAAATGAAAATAATGTAAAATATCGTATGTAATGTTCATTTTAATTATTTAAATAATAAAACTGTTAACAAATCGAATAACTAGCAACAGAAAAAGCGTATGAGTATCGTGTCAACAATTCATTTGTCCTTACATTATATCATTGCTTTGTCCTTACGTGAATCTTGTTGCTTCTTGATCGGTTGTATAACTATAGCCAGGGACTGTCAATCTAGGGGAAAGGTGGACCCGACCCCTACCTCAAATTTTAATAACTATTGCGTATGAATTACTTTTTTGTAGATTTTTTGGTATTTTAGATTGTAAATTAGTGTGCGTTTAATTGATTTATTTTATAATTGATTCCATAATAATAATAATTTAGAATTAAATATATAAAATTTTAATATATAAGAATATTACTTTTTTATTTTCATTGTTAGATTTTATTAACTTCAGTTTTTATGAGTAAAAATAAATAATTATAATAATAAAATTTTATTAAAAAATTATTTATTATATTTTTATAATTTTAATATAATAAATATGTATTTTTTATAAAAAAAAAATATTTATAAATACTTAAATACAGTTGGTGAAGTTACCAAACCCTTTATCGTTATAAGTTTTGTTTTGTTTGAATTGTATCAGTTGAAGAATTAGGCATTAAAGAGTTTCTTCCCGCGTACTTGGATCCAAATCTCCAGGCTAGTGAATTAGCCACCGGGGTGTGCTTTGCGTCAGGAGGTGCTGGCTATGATCCTTTGACATCAGAATTAGCGGTACACATATTTTCAGCTTCAATTTTACTCTCCCAAAGTGTGTGAAAGAATTTCACCAAACCTTTTCCAACATTATTACTGATTTATGAGCAGTCAGCTATATCACTCTCCGGTCAACTAGATTTGTTTAAAGAATACATAGGAAAGCTAAAGGGACTCGTTGGAGATGACAGAACAAAGTTCATCCTAGACAACACTCTTTTCTTTATCGTATTAGGCAGCAATGACATTTCCAATACATACTATGTGTCCCATCTTAGACAACTGCAATATGATGTTCCAGCTTACACTGACCTTATGGTTAACTCAGCAGCTAGTTTCTTCAAGGTATGCATAAGTCACAAGTCATGCATTTTAATATCCAAGTTCTTTGGGTAAGCTTGCACATTTTGAAGGAAAAAAATTAATATAAAAAATAATTTAATTTTTTATAAATTAATATCTTACATTTTTTAAGTTTTAAATAAATTAATTAAGAGAATTTTTAAAAGCATAAAGAATTATAAATTAATTTTACCTTATATGAGATTTTTTATTTATTTTAATATTTAATATTTAATTCTATAAATTTTTACTAAAAATTTATTCAAACTAGACCCTAGAGTTAAATATATTTTTAATATTATATTTTAACAATTGTTTTAATTTCAGACTCTCTGAATTTCCTTTTTCGGTTTAATTTTATAATTTTTATTTTTAATCCTCATTGATGTAATTTAAGAAAAAAAATTGACATATGACAGTTTTTAGTAAATTATATCAATAATAAATACTAAAAATAAAAATTATAAAAATATAAGAACTAAAATAAATAAAAAATTATTCAGATAAACGAAAAAAAATACTAAAACATATTTAATTAATATCTATATAGATCATAAAAGATATATACTCACTTTTTTAAGTGCTAATGGTTATTTAATCACATGACAATTAATGTATTTTTCTTCCCTCTGAATACAATTGGAAGGAGCTATATCAACTCGGTGCACGGCGGATTGGAGTATTCAGTGCGCCGCCAATTGGGTGTGTACCGTTTCACAGAACGGTGGCCGGAGGAATAGTAAGAAAATGTGTGCAAAAGTTCAACAACGCAGTGACATTATTTAACGAGAAACTGTCAAAGGAGATAGATTCCCTTAATCAAAACTTCCCCAACAGCAGGATTGTTTACTTGGATGTTTACAACCCTTTGCTTGATATCATCGTAAACTACCAAACATATGGTAATTACATATTTCACTTTCTATGTTAAGTGAAAATACCATTGAGGAGCATTGGTCGAAAATAATTTATGAGATGTTGCTAGGTAAAAACATTATGAAAAAAAATAATTAAAGATTACATTTTCTAATTCTTTGTTGTAACAGTTGAATTGTCCAATTGCAGGCTACAAAGTCGGAGACAGAGGGTGCTGTGGCACAGGCAAAATAGAGGTTACATTTTTATGCAACAATTTGGATCCCACGTGTCCCAACGTTTCGGATTATGTCTTTTGGGACAGTTTTCACCCTACAGAAAGCGTTTACAACAAGCTCGTGCATCCTATTTTACAGAAATATATGTACCAGTTTCAGTGAGCTATTAATACATTTCATTTTTATAAACAAAACTACCTCGGATTTCTTATGTAATTTCGGCTTATTCTGCCCATTTGCTACCAAAGTGTTGTTTATGGATAAGAATTAAAAATTTATGTACAATTTCAAGAGGATTGCTACCAAATGTGTTTTGAGAAAGTCAATGCAGTTGCTTGGAAAGTATCTCTCAAGCGAATTCCTTCACTAGCTGATTGGCTAATGTCGAAAATGCCATTCTCACGCTGAAACCACTTCACAATTTTTTAGTACAGAGTTCTTCTTTTTAAAATATGGATACCATGTTTGAATTGGGTTGGCATTTTATCAACTTAATTTAATTGCATGATGGTTGCAACGTCCACTTTCTTCGATTTCGAAGTTTACCAAGTTGTCGTTTGGCCTTTAGGTAGGAGTAGCAAACTATTTGGTATGCAGTAGTATGGTTTATATGCCTGGCCAGAAATCAAATTATATTTAATTCAAAGAGATTGGGGATAAAGCAAAGAGCTGTTTAGTGCAGATCATGAATGGTCTTAGTTGAGTTCGATGTATCCAGATTTTAAACATCCCTATTTCAACTGGTGCTTAATTAAATGCGAGTGGTTTTTTAAACTTGTATTGATATTGGTAGGCGCATGCAATTTTCTTTAATGAGGTAATTTCTGTTGAGTCAAGAACATTCACAGCATAATGAAAGTACTACAAAAAATCATTTACCTACACACAAAAAATTATCAAGTATTAGAATAACATTTGTTAGTATTAACTTTATCTAATAAAAATAAATTTTTTAGTAAAAATTTTAAAGGCCTTTACTAACAAATAATGACCTATATTGATAGTGTATATTAATGATTTATACTAGTAAAATTATTTGTTAGTATAATATATTATATTATTTGTACAAACTCAAGGTATCTATATTAACAATTCCATTTTTATTAGAAAAAATTTATACTAATTAAAGCTAATCCGAAATTAAAGTGTTAGTGAATGACAATTTTTTATTATTTTAGTAAAATTTAATTAATTGCTGAATGCAGTAAAAAATGTGTTAGAGAGCTTACTATTAACCAAAAAATTTTAATTTTGTAACATGGAGGAGGAAGTGTTGTGGCTGAATTTGTGGATAGGGAGAGAGGTGATTTATATTTGAATATTTATTATATTCGTACTGTATATAACTTGTTTGATTATTAAAAAAAAATGTTGAATAAATAACTGATAGTAATTTTCGTTAAGAATTACAATGGGGTGGGAAACCGGCGTTCCATCCTTCAAACTCACCTCCGTTATCCTAAAATTTATCATCCAACTCTCCTCTCCATTATTCTTCCGTTTTCTTTCTTTTCAAATTTATATTATTTATTTAAATAAATTATATATTAAACACATTTCAAATAAAACAGTTTAACTTTATTATTTTATTTCTAGTAAGATAATCCGTGCGATTCATAGGTAAGTTATTATATTATAATATAATATTATAATTATTAATTATAAAATAAAAAACAGTTTTGTAAAATTTTTATGATAATTATTAAATTATTTTAAAATTTGAAATTAATTAATACATATGGATTATTACTAATAAAAAATATTAACTATTTAAATAAAAGAAATATAATATAATATATGAATAATTAATACGTTAAAATTAAAGCTAAAAAAATAGATAAAAAAATATTAATTGTATTATATTAATATTAACTGTGATTCATTTCATTGTTATACAAATTTTTAAATATATAAACTCATTAATTTTTATTCATTCTTTCCGCTATTCATATATAATTAATTAGATACATATTATCAATTTTTAATAATAAATAAAATTTAGAAGTAAAAATTAAAATTTAAAATTATCTTAACTTTTAATAATAAATATATTAATATATTAATATTAAAATAATAAAAAAATATATAAACATGTTAATTGCACTAAATTAATGTAGATGTAAAGATAAATTTCAAAATTTATCTACTTTTATATATATAATTTTTTAAAAAAACTTTATTCTTTATAATAAAATAATTATTATAAGGGTACTTAATATGTTAAAAGAATATATGATTTTTAAGTTTAAAAATAAAATATTAATTTTAACTTAATAAATTTTATAAATAGTTTACCTATAATATATACTTGCAATGTACACAGAATCAAGAATTTTATAAATAGTGTATAAAAATTTTACCTATAATATATGTAATGCAATATATAGAGTTAAAAGTTTTCTAATCATTTTGTATATCAGTTGATTTAGTTATGTAATAACTATAGTAATATCATTAGCTAAATTAGTTTTAATACTTTGATAAACATAAATTGCATTATTTGTAATAAGATGATTAATATAAGAAATACATTTCATAATGAATGAATTAAGTTAAAAAGTTCTAAGATTTTTCTTAAAAGAATTTAAAAATTAAATATACATATTCAAAAACTTGTTTTCTCACCTAACATTAGCACATAATACCATGATTCAGATATATTAAAATATTAACAAATAACTTTGTAATTAAACTTAAAAATAAAAAAGTAACATAAACATATAACTAAAAGGAAAATTTATTTTTTTTGCAAAAAACATTTTAATGCATCAAATCCATAAAAATTAAACATTTAACTTCTTCTTAACGATAACTTTCTTTAAAGATTTAATCCTTGAACCTTGTGTTTGTGACTTCTCAAGAACTTATGCATTTTCAGTAACCATATTCTTACTCTTGTTTGTTCTTTTAGTTGATGGACTTATTTCATCCTCATTCATTAGCATCTTGCAGAGTTACTTAGAAGCAGGAGTTACTTCAATAGAAACTATTTAGAAATCTGAATATATAATTTAAATAATAATCAACATTTGAACCAATACTCTTTAAAATATTGTTATTTATTTGAAATCAATTAATTTACTACTTTCCTAATATCAATTATTTGCTCATCTTTAACATTGCTTATAGTTAAGGCAACATTTTCATTCAAAGTCTTCATCCATCAAATATAATACAAAAAATAAAAATAAATTTTTTTTAGAGATTTGACAATAGGTAATAAGTTGAAACGGAATGTCAATTTAAAGATGGTTAAATTTATTCAAAACAAATTATAACCTTCAAATATTAGCAATTTAACTTGACAAAGTGTCATTTGATCTACGTTACTGTCATCATCATTCCTCTTAATCGCACTAAATTAATATTGATTCTGATTCATTCCATTATTGCATGACTTTTTAAATATATAAATTTATTAATTCTTATTTATTTATTTTATTATTCCTCACTAATCAGATACCAATTATTAGTTTTTAATAATAAAATTTAAAGTAAATCATTAATATTAAAATTTGAAATTGCTTTAAACTTTACAAGAATAAATATATTAAAATATCAATATTAAAGTTATAAATAAATAAATAAATATATTATTCGCACTAAATTAATATTAATTCTTATTCATTCAATTGTTATATAAATTTTTAAATATATAAACTAATTAATTCTTAATCTTCCATTCTAGTATTCCTTATTAATATTCAAAAATTAATGCAGTTATGAAGGCAAACTTTCTTCCAAATTTCATCTACTTCTCTATATATAAAGATAAAGTTTATAACATTTTTAAGAGTTTGTTTAATAAATAAGATAAAATAACTACCTAGCAAATGAATTTGATTTGTTATTTTCATGTGTAACACATAAGATAAGTAAAAATTTATTATATAATTGTCCTATCATATTTTAATCTAATTTTTATATCTTATATTTTTTGTTTTGTTTTGTTCACTAAAAATTTTCTAAATATTCCTGGGATGAAATTTAGATTCAAGTGGAGCAAGCAACTTAAGCTTTATTTCCAAGTTAAAATTCGAAAGACGTAGAGAAAGCGAAAAGCGAAAATTTTTAAAACATCTTTATATTTGAGAGTTTCGAAGAGGGGAAAGGGCTTGAAAATTTTAATATGTTTTAAAAATCTGCTTCCTTAATAAATATTTAGCTCCCTCACTTTTGAAGATTTTTTAACATCCAAATAATAAAAGAAATTGTAACTTTTAGAGTATGTTTGATTTCTATTTAAAAATAATTTTCTGTTTTTAAAATTAAAATATAATATTTGCTTTTCTCCTTCTACTTTCGTCTTTTATTTTTAATTAAACTCTTTTTTTTTTCTTCTATACTTTCAAATAAAATTTTGCTTTTTTTTCTTTTGTTCCCTCATTTATGCCCTTTTCTCACCTTCCTTCCTACAGTCAAACAAGTCGTAAAACTGTGCCTACATTTTGCCTATTGAAAAAAAAAGAAAAAAGAAGCCCTAACTTAATCAAATGAAAACAAAATAACAGAATAATTAAATGTGGGTATGAATTTTTCTATCCATGTCTAATCTTATAGCATAGTCACTTCAATTATTAATATTGTTTCCACCATATGCAAAGGTATGAAAAAGCTGAACCAATATTAATGAATTTTGTTTTATTAAAAATACGTACCTGTTGATGGAAGAGGGAGTAATCGTAATCCTCAAATAAAATAACGCTTAAGTAATGAACCTAATTAACTACACACACACGATATAGGGATTTACTTACATATAATTAAAGTATTGTCAAACATATTTTATTTTTTGTAATTATTAATTTTTATCAATTTAACTATCATATTAATTTTTTTTATTAAGTAGAATAGACAAAATTTTTGTGTATTGCTACTTAATTAATTAACTTTTATTTTAATTTATGATATAGTTTTTGTAACTAAAAATTGTTAAAAAGATTACACATTTATAAAATGCTTAATATATCTTAAAATTTTATGTGGATGAATTGTCAACATAATAACACATAATTCAATAATCATATTTACCCATTCATATAATTAATTATTTAGTATGCAGGTGTTTTTTTGAAGATTTTATATAAGCTTGTGCTTTAATAAATTGTTTTATATAAGATATATCTTAAAATTTTGTGAGTTTAGTAGTTGTTGTGTGTTAGTTTTATATTACCCGAGGGGGAGGGGGAATTAATA